TTTAAACTTGAGTTGAAAAATTTTTTTATAGATATTAAGGAATGTAGTATTAAAATTTCACTCTTTACTATCTATATTTAAAGAAATAAAAGTAAATTTTGTCTCCTCGAATGTTGCTGTATTAAGGTCAGTCTTAAGGATTTAAAGCTTGTTCAGATGTCGTCCGAGCCGTGAAAAAGATGCTATCGACACGATTTCTATGATAAAAAGACAAGCTGGACTTTCTCAGCAGCCCTTTAATTTTGGGTTTACTAAATAGTATTTTATTTGATGGTACTATTCTTAATACTTTACCTACTTTGAAATGAAGCAGTAAAAGGACTTCATGGGACCAAAATATGCAGCAGCTATCCTTACATTCTGGCCTAGCGTCCGGCGCTAGAAGAAATCCACGTAAGTTCACTCCCATGAAAGCTGCTTTGACTTCACATTCCCTACTTTCCCTTGTAGTTTCATGTACATTTTTCTGTCCCCTAATTAACTTGTATTAACACTTAGTATCATATTTGTGTATAATTAGGCCTTCATCTCCTAATCTTACATTATTCATTTCTTCAGTAATAGTTCCGTGTATTAGTGATAGGAAGATTGATAACAAAGGACAGGGAGGTAAGAGCTGAAACTAATGAATTAGAAAATAGTTGAGAGAATCAACAGGTGATTCCTTAGTAAGAGCCATCAATTAGGCAAATTTCTGGTAAGTCTCAGTGGGGAGGGGAAACAGCTTTCTCTGCTCCAACTACCTTCGGGACATTGAGGCATAAAATCCTAACACCGTACAATGTGTCAACAAATGTGAGTTCACTAGAGCGACTATATTCTCCTAAATGAGCAAATTAATTCAGGTAGTTAAGCTGAATAGGTAAAACAGAAGAACATGAAAGATGATCAAGGCCCTTCCAGGGGCTAGATCCTGCTTACCAGAAATAAAAGATGAAAAGGAAAGACTCTTGAACTCTCTCTATAAAGCTAGCAGAGGAGAGGGGTGGGGGGTGGGAGGCATGGCTCAGTGGTAGTGTTGTACACCTGGCATGCGCGAGGGCCTGGGTTCAACCCCCCCGTGCCCCTACTAAGGGGGACAAAACAATAGAACATGCATGAAATACAGCTAAACAAAGCTAGCATAACTGATATCAAGGCTGGGAAAGAGCGTCAAATCAAGCCATTCTCACTGCTGTGTGTGAATAAAATCTGCAGAAATGAAGAACACCCTGAATACCGCAATGGAATAGAGTACAAACCGGAAAGGATGGAGCAGTGCCCCGCCTCCTCCAGGGCAGTGGCCTCTCATCACCAGACTGTGTGACCACAGACAGGCGTGTACTTAGGAGGCCATTAGGAAGCGCAGTGACCGCATCTGGCGAGGTAAGTGCCGTCTGAGTGCGGAAACGCACCAGGTGCTGTCTGAGCTTTTTAACAATGGCGTGTATCCTGTTAGGCAAGTCTGAATAGTAACGAGGAAGTATGCTCATAATACAAAAACATATACCAAAGAGTATATATATTAAATTTTTGTACTAAGAGTTTCGTTACATTAACATCCATTAAAATAAGTGGAAAATGCCAACATTAGTATGAGTTATAGACAGATTTTCAGTGGCGGTGGGCTAGGCTAACAGCTAGGAGCCCCCTTTCCTTCTTAACAAAATGCAGAGTTAGGTTCATAATTGGGGGGGGTGGGTAGCTCAGTGGTAGAGCATGTGCTTAGCATGCACGAGGTCCTGGGTTCGATCCCCAGTACCTCAATCTTAAAAAAATTAAAGTTGAAATAAATAAACCTAATTACCTCACCCTCCAAAACCAAAAAGACCTTAAAAAAAAAAGAATTAGGTTAATAATAATATCCCTCTGGGCAGTGAAGTTACAAGCAATTTTCACTTTCTTCTTTACATTTAAGTGAGCAGGTTTTTGTTACACCGGGCACATACTGCTTTTCAGTGTTTTCATTTTTATCGAAGTCACGTATGCACGTAGTACACATGGGCAAATGGGGCCTCGGAGCTCGGACCCTTCTTGCTGGAGGCCCGCCCTCCCCTGAGGGCTGTGAAGTCGGCTGCCGCCTTGTGGGCTGCCCGTGCTGGAAGGTCAGCGCGGCCAAGAACCGAAGGCGGTTTCTAGCAGCTGAGGGCAATCTCTTGCCCACAGTCAGCGGGAGACTGAGGTCCTCAGGCCCACGGCTCTAAAACACTGATCATGGCCAGTAAAAGTGGATCAAGCCTCAAAGTCAAGCCTCAAATAAGACTACACCCCAGGTGACACCTGGACGGAAGTCTTATGAGGCCCGGTGCAGAGCCACGCCCAGAACCCTGCCCTGCGGAAACTGTGAAATAATAAATGTGTGCTGTTTTAAGTCACTGAGTTTGTAGTAACTTCTTAAGCAGCAATGGGAAACTACTGTAATCCAACCCCCTCCACGACCGTCACACACAAGCCCTTCGGCTGCTGCCCCATCCTCTCCACATAACTAATCGTAATTCTGGTAAGATTAACAGTCAATAGTTCTATCACTTTGACTTCATAAATACTGACAGCTGAGCAATATCTCAAATCAGACCATGATTACTTTTCTTGCACACATTCATTTTTTCCTGGAGTTAAAAGTAGCTTAGATTTTTTTGTTTGCTTAATTTTCTATTTACTTAGCATACATTGTCCCCCAGACTCTCCAAATGTCCAACTTTTCACTCAGAATGTTCAAAAACAATAGGTGGTTAAACAAGCTACATGAAATGCACAAGCAAAAGGAGAAGGCTGGTAAACTCAACTACATTAAAATTTTAAAACCTTGCTCACTAAAACTTAGACATCAGAAAAACGGTATAAACTCACACACCTACAGTCAATTAATGTTCGACAAAGGAGGCAAAAATACACAATGGAGAAAAGACAGTCTTTTCAGCAACTGGTGTTGGGAAAACTGGACAGCCGTGTGTAAATCAGTGAAGTTAGAACACTCCCACTACACACAAAAATAAACTCAAAATGGCCTAAAGACAAACATAAGACACTACAAACCTCCTAGAAGAAAACATAAGCAAAACATTCTCCCACCTAAATCTTAGCAATGTTCCCCTAGGACAGTCTACCAAAGCAGTAGAAATAAAAGCAAAAATAAACAAATGGGACCTAATTAAACATACAAGCTTTTGCACAGCAAAGGAAGCCATTAACAAAATGAAAAGACAACTTCCAGAATGGGAGAAAATATTTGCAAATGATGTGACTGACAAGGGCTTAATTTCCAGAATATACGAACAGCTCATACAAATCAGTAACAGAAAAAAGCACCTAATCAAAAATGGCAGACCTAAACAGACATTTCTCCAAAGACAAATGGCCAACAAGCACATGAAAAAATGTTCCATATCACTATTAGAGAAATGCAAATCAAAACCGCAATGAGGTATCACCTCACACCAGTCAGAATGGCCATCATTCAAAAGTCTACAAATAATAAATGCTGGAGAGGGTGTGGAAAAAAGGAACCTTCCTTTACTGTTGGTGGGAATGTAATTTGGTGCAGCCTCTATGGAGGACAGTACGAAGGTTCCTTAAAAAAATAAAAAGAGTTACCCTATGATCCAGCAATCCCACTCCTGGGCATGTATCTGGAGAAAACTATAATTTGAAAAGACACACGCACCCCAATGTTCACAGCAGCACTATTTACAATAGCTAAGACATGGAAGCAGCCTAAATGTCCATCAACAGATGACCAGATAAAGAAGTTGTGGTCTATATATACAATGGAATACTAGTTAGCCATAAAAAGAATAAAATATCGCCATTGGCAGCAACACAGGTGGACTGGGAGATTATCATACTCAGTGAAGTCAGACAGGGAAAAGAAAAATACCACATATTACTTATACGTGGAATCTAAAAAATGACCCAAATGAACTTGTTCATAAAACAGAAAGAGACTCAAAGACATAGAGAACAAACTTATGGTTACTAGTGGGGGAAAGAGGGTGGGAAGGGATAAACTGGGAGTTCAAGATTTGCAGACACTAACTACTATAAAATAGATAAACAAGGTCCTACTGTGTTGCACAGGGAACTATATTGAATATCTTGTAATAGCCTATAATGAAAAAATATGAAAAGGAATACACATATGCATATGTATGACTGAAATTTTATGCTGTACACCAGAAATTGGCACAATACTGTAAACTATATGTTAAAAAAAGGTTTATATGAAACTGAATATAAAGATTATCAGGTGGATGATTTAGAAATATATATATGCATATATGTATATATTTCAGAATATATAATATTCTAATATTATTTATTTTCATTACCTATTAAAAGCCTCATAGTATAAACAAACAAACAAAAAAACTGAAGTCAGACTTACCATATGATCCAGCAATCCCACTCCTGGGCATATATCCAGAGAAAACTATAATTTGAAAAGATCCATGTGCCCCAGTGTTCATAGCAGCACTATGTACAATAGCCAAGACATGGAAGTAGCCTAAATGTCCATCAATGGATGACTGGATAAAGAAGTTATGGTATATTTATACAATGCACCCATAAAAAGAATAAAATAATGCCATTTGCAGCAACATGGATTGACCTGGAGATTGTCACACTATATGAAGTCAGACAGAGAACGACAAATACCATATGATAGCATTTATATGTGGAATCTAAAAAATGACACAAATGAACTTATTTACAAAACAGAAACAGACAGATTCACATAGAAAACAAATTTCAGATTACCAGGGGGAAGAGGGGCTGTAGGGATAAATCCGGAGTTTAGGATAAACAGATACTAACTACTATATATAAAATTGATAAACAAGGTCCTATAGCTTCAAAAATAGAAATATAAACTAGATAAACAAATTTTTTCTGTACAGCACAGGGAACTATATTCAGTATCTTGTAATAGCCTATAATGAAAAATATGAAAAGGAATACATATATATATATATGTATGTATAACTGAATCACTATGCTGTCCACCAGAAATCAACACGTTGTAAACGGACTATACTTTAATTAAGAAAATTTACAAAAAGAAAGATATAGACAATCCACACAGTAGAAGTTGTTATATGAAAATGATAAAATAAAATGACAAGAAAACAATAAAATAACCGATAAGAAAATGTGCAAAATACATGAAAGGGAAAACGTTAACAGCAGGTGCCTCTAGGTGAACCCTGCCTGAGCGCAAAGAAGAGAGGGCGACATTTCATGCCACACCCTTTTGAGTTTTGTACCATGGGTACGTATTACCTTTTCAGAAATACACATGGAAGGTAGTACTGAAAATGAAATAAGTTGTTTTGTATTTAGCCACGTGTAGTTAAGTGTCCTGTGCCTTCCTGTAAAAGGTTATGAATTTCCTGAGACTTGCAGAACCTGTTTTTTTTTTTTTTCATTTTCTTCTTAAGAAGGACAGGACATGGCTTCTAAATATATTTGTGCGCTGAACAAAACCAACAGTAAGGAGGCAGCGGTCCTTCCTAAGATGCTCTCGCCAGCTTCCATGCATTAGCGCCGCATGCGGAGTGTGCAGCAGGGGCCTGATGGAGTTAACCAGGGTGATGGGAATTCTGTCCTTCTCATTCCACTGGTAAAGCTTTCCTGGTTCAACACTCCTTCTGCGTCTTATTCCTTGACTAATCTCTTTCCTAGGATAATCTACCCTTTTATGTTAATTAGCATTTACCGAGACAAACTGAGAGCTGAATAAATAATGATTTACATTCATTTTAATCAGTCATTGCTGTGACACATTCCAAACACTTCAGTTACTGTAAAGGCACTCTGATTCTTGATTCTGTTAAAAAATATAATTTCAAAATGCACCAAAAACTGGAAATCCATTGTTTCTCTGATCTTCAATTTGCTTTGATAGAAATTCTTTACTTGCTTTGTCAATTTGGTCTGGAGTGAACAGATTGACTGTGGGAATGAAATAGTGCTGAAGCTGTTCTGTCCTGAGGCACTGAAGAAAGTATGTCACGCATTTATCAAAGCAGAGCTCCAGGTCCCTAGAGAGCCACTGACTGTCATACGGGTCCTGGGTACAGACGTGAAAGAAGGCGGTTTTCACGTGGTAAGAACAGAACTTCGTCAGCTCCTTTCGCTTTCCAAACTTCTTCTTCAGTTGTTCTAAAAGATATTTCATTAGCTTCAAACAGTCTTTCCTTTGAATAAAAAAGAGTTATCATTTATTTTTATTTATTTACAATCTGTTTCATTCTATAATGAGCTTTAGGCACCTCACAGGAAAAACATGTAACGATATAATAAAAAGTACAGATATTATAATACATACGATACAGAAAACAAGATATAATAAACAATAAAGATATATAAAAATAACATAATTATAAAGTCACTCTAAAACCTAATGATTTTTTCAAATGTATGCTTTAAAAGTTTCAAAAATAACTGCAATAAAAAAAAAGGTGTATCACCTATGAGCACCATGTGGCTAGATGGCTGTGTTTTGTTCTTTAA